ACTGGCAAGGGCTGGGGAAATGTTTACCTAAATCCTCATGCTGGGACTGGCAATGCCCAGAACTGCCTGTGATTTAACTGCCAGACAGCTACAAGCACCTACATTATTCCTATTTTAGGACACTTACTGCTTACTTGCCAGATTTGCTGCTATTTAAAATTATTCTGGTGACTTATCACACTTTATAGCTTGGTGGAATGGACCAAAGGCCTCCTCAGCACAAAACTCCTTCCTGACAGCATTAGCAGTGTTCTGTTGGAGCTATCATGGCCCTATTATGGATGTGGATGATATCTGTTATAGACTGATTGATTTAGCTGGGAAAAAATGATGCTTTTATGTACAGAAATTTCATTTCCTTCTGGTGTGGAGCAGAAAACTTAAAACTTCTCATGTCTCCTTCAAGCCTGAATAAAACCTTGTGTGCTCCAAAGTTCCTGTTAGTAGCCACAGCTGCTGTTTTGACATGGCAGTGCTGGTCTGTGCTGAGGCAGAGCTGTTTGGTGTCTGACCACCCAGCAGCTCAGCTTCGTGGGACTCTGGTGTCTGGAGGGTGGGAAATGGGCAGGGTGCAATTGCTTCTTCCAGAGTAGAAATTGAAATTTCAGAGTAGAAATTGAAATTGATTTTGGGGAACAGGAGTATGGATAGCAGCTGAAATCCCACTGTCACCTCTCTCTTACTCCAAAAGTTCTGTGAATGCTGTAGTGCTTTAATTGTCCCTGTGCTGGGGCTGAATTTATTGCTGGGACTCTTGGATTGCCTACAATTCTTTAATATCACTGAGCTTCTGTGGGGCAAATATAGTTTTCTGCCCTTGTACTGTCCCCACTCCCTCTGCTTGATCTAAATACTTCACTCAGCATGAGGTTAGAACTTCTGCCACATTTTTTTTCTCTCTTGAGGCTGTTGCTGATTCAGAGTTAATCCTTTCCAGAATGTCTCAGTGTTTTCTGTAATCTTGATATGAAGCCACTCTTCAGTCAACTCCAAGGAAAATTCTTGCATTTTTTACCTGGTTGCTCTGCTCTTGGTTTCCTTCACTCCTAGTCTACCTGAACTGGTGCCACTAACACTGTTTTTCTTTTGCACTTGCACTTTTCTGACTACATTGCACATTAGACTTCTACTCCTGTTTCAGAAAATATCCTTTTCCTACCCTTTCCCACCGTTTGCTTTCCCTTTTCACAGTGAGTCCACACATTGATAAAACACACAGCCCCAAAAAGGGAATAAACCAGGAACTGGTTTCCTTCTATTAATTTAGGAATAGCCAAGTTTGAGCCAAGAAAGTGCACTAGAACTCAGTGGCTGTTGAAGCCTGTGTGAGCTCCCCGTGGCTGTGGCATGGGCTTGGACGTCTTTATCAGGTGTAACAAAGTCATATCCATCAAAAGCTGCTGGAGGAGCCAGCAAATGCTATTCAGCAGCATGTCCACTTCCCATCAACATGCCATGAGTCTCCCTCCTTGCTCCTTTGGCTGACTGAGAGCCCAGCAAGTCTGTGGCCCTTTTCCATGGCTTGATTTTCAATTAAGAGATAATGTCAGTGGAAGAGCACAGTTCATCAGACGTTGTTGTTGCAGAAGGCAGAGATGTGGTGAGCAGAGGTCAACTGCTCAAAATCTACATGCCTGGCTAAAATATTGTATAATATGTTGGCTAATTTTACTTCATTTTATATTCACATATATTAGTGCAGCTTTTATTATATTCTTATCCTTATGTAAGTTACATCTGTTCTTTTATTCACTCATCCATGTTTGCTCTGCTTTCAGATTTATGAAACAGGCATTCCACTGAGCTCAGCAAATGATGGGCATAATAACTTATCTAAATTGCAAAGTATGTGATGCCCTTGAGGTAAACTCAGTTGTGAAGGTTTTATGAAGTGTCTCACATGTGGAAGTGGAGGAAAGTGTTTATTTGCCAACTCCTGTCTCTCCTTTGGCTGTTCAAATGATGTTAAGAGGATCCTGTGAAACTGCTACAAAAGCCTGGGGGCTAAATGGAGGGGAGAAGTAGAGCTGCATTATTATCTTGGTAGAGGAAGCAGAGCCATCCTGGCACTTCCACTTACACAGCTCTTCCCTCGTTGGATGTCAAAAGTTTCTGGTTGGCAGGCTCTGAAGTATCATTTATTTAATGAAATGCCTCTCACTGTAACAATATTGTGAGGCTTTATTAATGAATTTATGGTTAGGAGATAGGAAAGTAATATCTTTTTTCTTTCTTTCTTTTTTTTTTTCTTTTTTTTTTTTTTTTTTTTTTCTCACAACACTGCAGAGGGGCAAAGGCTCTGTAGAGGAAAGGGGTGCTGTTTTACTTATCTGAGATACTCTAACCCCCTCTGCATGCCTGTGGCTGCTGTAAAGGCCTTCATTGACCATGCAGAGTCCTGATTCCTTGAGTTATTCAGCTTTACTGCCAGTCCCAGCACTGATGTGCTATTTGAGGGGTGTCCGCCTCTGCTTAATTCTCAGTGTCTGGAGTTTTGTGGGACAGAGCTGAGTTATCATCTTAATTTCCCTCAAAATCTCTTGGAGTTTCCTGTTCATTACTGCTGAGCCTCGTGCATCAGAGATCATTGCTTAAACCACTGGGCTAAATAATTCTTGCTAAAATAATAAATTCAACTATAATTTGAATTAAAAAGAGAATTTACACTTTAAAGTCTAGTAAGCAGAAATACATTTCTACTTTTCTTGACTTAAGAAAAGTGAAGACTTAAGCCCCTTTTAGAAAGAGGGTTTGATTCTTTTTTCCTTCATGTTTCCTACTGGCAATTTTAGGTGGGATTCCCATGCATAAGAAGGGGCTTCAGAGAAGTTCATTCTCATGCAATGCTGAAGTTGTGATATTTAAATACCTTCAAGGCTCAATTTATAACATATTTTGGACAGAGCCAGTAACCAAAAAAATAATCCTAAGCCTTAGTATGTTGCCTCAAATCCTCTGTGAGCCCAGTGGTCTGGCCAGAAGCAAGTTGAGTTTGGGAATTTCTGGCAACTATAAAAAGAAGGAAGTGGGTAAATCTATCTTAGGAGTGTCCATATTCCTGAAGTAGGCTGTGACTCAGTCCCTCCATTAATTGCTGGAAAGCTTTGAGGGTGTCTGTTTCCCTCAATTGCTGGTCAAATTTTATCCAGGGGACTGTGAGCAGAAGTGTCAGTAAAATTCTGCAGAATAGGGACATTGGGAGACTGACCAGACCCGTTTTCCCTGACTCTGAGGCACTCCTCAGGGATCCCTAGGACGTGGGTAAAGGCTCTGTGGGAGGATGTTTCTCCCTCTCCCAAGGCAATTTGGGCTTCCCTGGGTCAGTTCTCCTCGTGGCTGCAGGCACAGCCTGGTAGCACTGAGAGAAGCACCTTCCATGCTCTGATCTTCTCTTTTTTTCCCAGCTAATTATGAAGTAATTTTTCATTTGCTGGTGTTTAAGCTCACAAAATAATTAGCCCGTTTGATAAATTAGCTGGCTTAAAAACGTAAATCTGTCAGTGAATTGGATGAGCAGTGCAGCACCCAAACCACTTGAAGCTACAGATCTATTGCTACTTTGTCAGTCCTGTAAATTCAAAATTGTTGAGATTAATTCTGAGCTAATTTCATAAACCCTCCACCATGACAAGAGGAAAAGTGTTTGGGTGTCAGGCTTTGTGCCCTTTGATGTCAGATTTCAGCCTGAATGAATTTTTTATGGCTGACTCTGGAATATAAAACCGTGAAAACAATGGTTTGTAATGGCAATTCTGACAGACCCTTTAACCATTTGGAAAATAGGCCCTGCTATAACCCTGCTGCATTAGAGAAAACTGGTGAGTGCTTTCATTAGGTGCAACAGCTGTTTCTATTGCAAAAGCCAAACTTCACTGGTGGGAGCATAGCTGTCAGCTTTCCAGAGCTTTGCATTTATAGCTTTGCATTTATTTTGTAAACTCCTTTATGTTCTGTTTTTTGCTTTCCAATATATGTAAATTCATTCAATAGCAAAAATACAAATAACTACCTTGAAACTAGATGTGTGTGAAGGTTCTTTGCAGGATCCTGCAATCAGTGTCCTGTGATGAGGGAGCTGAGAAATCCTGAACTTTTGGAAATGGTTCTAGCTCAAGTGATGTGGTAATCCACACCACAGAAAATTTTAATCACCAGATTTAATCCTCCTCCTTGGTAATGTGTTAGAGACCTTTAACCTAATGTAAAATTCTTAATTAGAGCTGATTTAAAAAACAACAACCACAAACCACCAAAAAATCCAACAAACCCCTCTCCCCCCGAGCTCCCTGAGTGTTCTCCTGTCTCTTCTATTTAAACAGAATTTTGTCCTAAGAACATGCTGAATATGCTGAAATGCATTTTTTTTTTTTTTGGAAAAAAGTAAAGTTGATGATGCTTTTCATTTCTTTGTTCTGACATAATGCAGAAAAATATTTTAGTATTATGAAACAAACAGTGAGTTCTGCCTGGAACAAGATGCCTCAAATCAAATAGTTATGTGAGTTGTCAGAAATTAAATGCAAACATATGCTCAGAATGCAAACTAATTTTGAAGCACCAAATTTTGTAATGGCAGGGAGCAGGTTTTAATGCATTCAGTAAATTTCAATCCCAAATATTGAGTTATGCACAGATTTATGTGTCATAATATGGGATACCAATCCGTTTGTAGATGTTAGCTTGATTTTTGTTAAAATTATACAGAAAAGTATCCAGAGATATATAAAGGATGTACATACATACAGACAAATAGAAAGAAAGAAAATACTTTGTTTTACTGAATTTGCAGTGGGATATTAGTCACTCTGTATCAAAAAATATAGGAATAACCAAAATTTTAAGGAACCTTTAATAAATATTTAGCTATCTCTGTTTAAATAATTCCAAACAGCCTCTGACCTGTGGACTTTCAGAGTGAAAATCAGGCTGGTTATTCAAACACCTGACTGTGGGTTAAAATGCTGACTTTTGGAAAAACTTTGGAAATCTGTCTTTGATATTTAAGCCTACCGTGTAAAATGGGAAGGTTAAGTATTAGAGAAGTACAGGGACTAGGCTATTTGTAACTACGTCATTTACACTTATCCAGAGAACAATGTTTATTATATAAGGCAGGAAAATATATGTAATTGTATAAGTATATATAATTTATATCATGTGCAGCATTCGTGTTGCAAAAGGTTCTCATGATCTGTAGGCAGGTGTGAGAAATTTAGAGACTATCCTGGTACAATGTCAAAAAAATAGGAATATTTGTCCTTTGTTTTACCTCACAAGCTTTTGAAAGAGATGGAACCCAGTCTGTCTATAATTTGGGGCACTTAAGATCTGATTAGTTTCTGAAAACATTCTGTTCTTGGAAAACTTTATTAAAAGCCACTGATCTGACAGCTAACTGAGGCAATACACACCTACTCACACTTCTCTAAGGAGAGATAGATGCCTTCTCAAATTGCAATTGAAATAACTTAGGAATATAATGAATGTAATCCCGTTGAGAACACCTTGACCCTCCACCCCTGTGGTGTCTCTCAGACATCTCTGTCTCGTAGGCAGGGTCTGGGGTTTCCAGTGTCTCACCTGAGATCTGTCTGCAAACCCCCAGCCCCAAGGAAGGGCAATTCCAAGTCCTGCCAGTGCAGAAATCCAAACCCTCTGTTCCCCAGCCTGTCACTGCATCCACAGTGCAGAGTGAGAGAGCATCCCTCTGGGACCTGAGGGAGCTGCAAGAACCATGAATCGCATTCTCCCTCTCTGGTGACGTGTCGCTGTCCTTTTCCTCACAAGGGGCTGAATGTCCGTGGTGCTGAATGCCCAGAGCTGTGATTTGCTCTGGTTTGAGAGACTTTGTGAAAACGTGAGACACTCCTCTTACAGCCCAGCCCCACCTATTGCTCATTCTGCCAGGTCAGACTCATCTGCACTGAGAAGCAGCACAAGGCTCTCTGCATTTCACAAATCCTTTCAGAATTAAATTGACCAGTTGCTGTGCACAGACTCCAGAGAAGCATTTACATGTCTTTTACCTCTCACATCACCAAAGCCTCATTTGAGCTCCACTAAGAGACCTAATTTGTTGGACTGAATTTCATTCCCTAAAAACTTCCCCCTCACATCCAATTAGCACAGTACCACTTGTGACAAAGATAGAAGAGAATTCTAATTATCAGCCAGAAAGAAGCTATTCAGGTTGGGTTTTTTGTCTTTTTGTTTTCATGAGTTAGACAACCCCATGAGACTATTAGCATGGACAAAGTTCAACCACAGGGGCTAAATCAAGCAATAAACATGTATTTGTGGCCAGTGCCTGAGCACTAGCAGAGTTCAAGGGGTGCAGTCAGGTTTCAAATAGCAGTTACATTTTTTTTAACCTTTCAAATAGATACGACTCAGGTGGAATTTTACTCCCCAAGGAGCAATATACTCTCCTGCCCTTTGCTGCTGCTTTTACCTTCTCAATTTTAGTCCACGCATGTTCTTCACTTTTTCCTTCAAGGATGTCCATGGCATCAGCCATTAGTGACTGCAGCTGTGGTACCGAGATAAAAATTATCAGTGTGGAATTCACACAGAAATAACTTCTCTAAATACACAGATTAAAACCTAATTAAAAAATCATTTGTACGCTGATGATTTTATTACTCATCTTTCACACAATGAGCACTGCCACCTCATCTTTGCTTCAGCCATTACACTGTATTATTGGGGATATAAAATACTTCACAATGAGAAAAAATCCTCTGGAAAATTTGTACTTAAGCCTATACATTTTAATGCAGTAAATGTTTATATTTAGTAAAGGAAGGCTTAGGTTGTAAAGAATAAAGGCTCCATATTTTATTCTTTAGCTGTCTGAGATATTCTGTGTCATACACGAATGCTTTTTAGTATTTTCTCCCAAGGCTAATGTATCATCATTTAAAGCAGCATGTAAAACCTTACAAGAGGACAACAATAAAGCTGAGATGCTTTTACTGTAGCTGGAAGTATCTAGCTCATTTTCCCTGCTTTTACTATCCTTTTCCTTTGGCAAACCCTTCCTTCTCCCCATCATTCAGCATAACAGAGCATAAAACCAAGGCTGACAATTTCTAGTGTAAACCATAAAAAGAAGCTGAGGGAAAATACTTGGTAATCTGTCCTTCGTGTTAGAAGGGAGGCTAAAATTCCAGGTAGCTGCAGCACTGCCTCACTGTGGTACCCTTCCAGGTCAGTCACAGCATTGTCTCACCCTGCACCTTTCCCAAACACCTGGAAACGTTTCAGCAGCTCTTAGTTCAGTAAGAGAGACACAAGGCTCAGATCCTTGAGCAGACTCCTGTGAGCAGCCATCAGTATTTAGGGACAAACTGGGAGAAACTGGTATTTAATTCCTGTCACATTGCTGTGCTCTAGTAGGTCTGTTCCAAAGTGTTCCGTTGCTTGAAGAGAATGCAAACCATCGGTTTTGGAATCTCTTCCCAAATCCATTACTCATTACAAGGAGTTAGACAATATAAGCATTAGAATTTATGCAGAAGTTGTCTTTTCCCTCAAGAAATTGCCTCTTCCATCTGTACCTAGACAGGCAGCAGTCTAATATGAGAACATAGGTGGTAAAACCCAAAACATCAGCATTTAGGCTCCTCTGTACAAGAGAAAAAAATGCTGCCCTGAGATTCAGCATTTCCTCAAGTTACCCTACACGTTCAGGTATTTGAAGTTAAAATTATTTACCTGCATCCCAGCACTGGATAAAGGATACAGGAATCTTCTTTTGAATCTCTAAAGAAATTTGTTATGCTCAATCCCAGCCTGTTTTCCCTGTGCTTATGCAGCCATTAAGTTGAATATTGTTGGTCCAAACATTTTATGAAATCTTTTGGGTATATGCATGTTGTGCATCAGCATTGATGGAAAAAAAAAAAAACCAAAAAAAAACCCTATAAATTTCTGCCTCTGACTTCAAGAGTTAACCTGTCAGAAATTTTCAATTGCCATAATTTTATGACATATAATCTCCTTCTATGAATCCAGAATAGACAGAGCCCAGAGATTAAGGGTATTAAGGGCAGAATGGGCAAAGCACAGCTCCTGCATCAAACCAGGCAGCAGAGGAACTGCTCAGGAAGGGGAGGATGTTTCCAGTGCTTTCCTTGGAGTAATTCTCCTGAAGAACTGGCTGGGCAGCACTCACTGGGACAGGGACAGGACACTGGCCTGTCACCCCAAGGGGCTGCTCTGACAGCCCAACCAGGCTGCAAATTCCACTGCCTTGGAAAACAAGTGAAAACAAGGAGTATTTCCAATTAGTTTCACTGATACTGGTACATGCCAGTGAAAAGTGCCCATTTTGTCCTGTGGCTTTAATTTTTATCGCCCAAAGTGTTTCACCAGCTCTACTGGCAGATAAAATGTGCAACTGCAAAAGTGGGCAGTTGGCAAACCAGAGTAATTCTCCCAAAGAAGGTATTTTTTGGAAAATCCCCCACAAAGAGAAATGTGGCTTTAAAAAAAAAGTCTGAATTTGATTTTAAATGAAAATAGATTTTTTTCTTTTTTAACAGCCTTATGTGGCTTAAAAAAAAAAAAAAAAAAGTCCGAATTTGATTTTAAATGAAAATAGATTTTTTTCTTTTTTAACAGCCTTTCATCTTGATTTATGGTGTACAAATATGGTGACATTGAAATCATAAACCTTGGAAATATTTTCTTCAGGGGTTTTTTTCTCCACTTATATTAATTGTTCAGGCTAACTGAAATTGCAGCATCTTTGTTTTCCTAGGGTCTGTGAAAAAATACCGACTTAAAAAGGCCTCAGTTGAGGTTTCCTGTGCCATATCTTAGGACTTTATTTATTTAGTTACAGGAAGACATTTACACAGAAGAGTTTATAACTGAAATGCCTTTGGGATCCTTGTGAGTTGTACTATTATAAATTCAGTGTCTTTTAAACTTATACAAGTTATTCAGTAAGTGATAATAAACATTTGGCATCTTTAGCCCTTTCTAACTCACACAATTTAACTGCCTTCCTTGGTCATAAAGTCTTATCTCAGTTTTTCCAGTGTAAAGTCAGAATGACCTCAGAGGAATTATTTTAAATTTTTATTAGTCCAATGCTCCATTAGAACTTGGCCAGCTCAGCTTCCTTCAAGGAAAAGAAACGAGATTTCTCTCAGAAATGTTGGTGAAGAGTGAGAATCACAAGGGGCCAGCGTGGTGCTGTGGCTCTGCCCCCAGGGACACGGGGCTGCCTCTGGAGCGGCCACTGGGAGATGCTGAATCACACCAGGACAGCCCAGTCCTGCAGATGGCTCATCCTGTGTGGACCCCAGCCAGGTGAGGAGGGGACAGGAGGACGAGCAGGCGAGGATTTCTCCCTGTCCCTTCCCTGGATGAGTCAGGAGTGCAGACCCAGCCATGGGCAGCGATGCTCTGAGCTCGGTGCAGCTGGGATGTGCAGGGGAACCAGTCCCTGCTGGCAGAGGAGAAGCCTGTGCCATGTGGGCTGGTGTCACCAGGGAAGATAAAGCCCATTAATCACTCCCTGGTGAAGTTATTCTGCAAGTTCTTGCCTGCAGTCTTGTGCCTTCACACTGTGGTGCCTTAACTTTACTGAAATATTCCAGTTACAAGGCAAACGAGCCTCCATTTGCACAGAGAGAACACAGATATATTTTACAGCTGGGTGGCAGAACAAAGAAAAATAAATGAATTCTGAATTAGTGCAGTGAGTGTAGCTGGTAGGAATTTTCTGTCTTTATGCTTGTAAAAAAGCATTTTTACCTTGTGCTCAGTAAACAAAAAATACGTGTTTCATTGAAAGATTTAAAGCTTGTCACTTAAATGCCCCAGCATGGACCTTTGTCCTGCCCAGTCCTACCCTTAAGAGACTGAAAACCTGTCTTGGGTGGCCTAAAGCCTCTCCAAAAAGCTTTCCAGGGAGGTCAGGTTTATGATTACTACATGACAAGATACACAGACAAGAGAGTGAGAGCCTGTGCCCAACGTGCAGCGTACTGAAAATATTGTGCCCTGGAGAAAAACCTATCACTGAAATATGTACCAATAACTCAAGACCCTTTAGTCAGCCTTGAAATGTGGGCCTGCTGAAGTTTAATACCAGAGAACTTGAATCAAAAGGAGAATGTCTTTTAATAACACAGTTTCTTTGCAGTGTCGTTTCCCCTTATCTCGAGCCCAGACTTCAAAGTCTGGCAACCACCTCCTGCAGTTGCAGGCTGCTGCTTCTCTTCCCTAAAGCAAGCTGCTGTGAAGCTTTAATTCTGCAGAGCTTAGGAGCTTTGCAGGACTGCAAACAAATGGCAAGGGACTGGCTTTGGGAAAACCAAGACTTTTTAGTTGGATCATCAAAATTGGACTGTATTTAAATGCAAGAGCTGTGGAGGGACTTTTTCTTTTTTTTCCCCCTAGAATGAAATGCTTAAATTTTACATGTACCTGAGCTCCCTGTTTCCCCCTTCATAAAACCTGACAGCCTCGAGGAAGAATAATCATATGGTACTTTCTGATTGCAGCTTATTGATGTGCTATCAGGCCTTTAATGACTCCAGTCCCAGCCCTGCTGGCATCACTGCCCTCCTCTCACAAAGGGAAAACAAAGCATGGCAGGCACACAGGATTATTCAGAGACAAGGAGCAAGTCACGGATGGAAGCAGGAAGGAAACCTTTCCTTCCCTCCTCTGCCCAGCTGTAGCTGGATTGGGCCTGTTTTGCAGCAGGTGGCTTCTGAGGTTAGATAACTTAAAGTAGCACAATCTGAATAATTGCAATCATTTTCCCAGACTGATTTGGGGAGGTTTGGGGGAAAAGAAGAGGTTTTAAAAATATGCCCACAGATGAGTCATGCTGGTTCTATAAAAGTCATCCTTGCAGGTGATCAGCACCTCCTCTGATAAAGCACTGAAGGACAATTTAAAAACTACTTCAGGGCTGCAAAAATGAGTTATGGAGCACATTGCAGTGCGGAGCTCTGGCCCAGCCCTTCCTTCCCTGGCTCCCTTCTTCTAAAGGCCAAAATAGGTGTTAGAAATAAAACCTGACCAGCTCTGCACCCTCCCAAGTGGCTTCCTGCAGACAGGGATGGTCACCAGCTCAGCCATCACTTGATTCATCACTTGGGGCTGCTCCTCCTCCCTCTGCCAGAGGCCAGGGAGGTTGGTGAAATGGAACCTCTCCATCACACTGGACACCAGCTGTGCTTGCCCAGTTTTCCCAGCAAAAGAAGGGAGGTGAGAGGACAGTCACAGGAAAAAAATCCTGTCCTTTAAGCCCTGCACCTGGAGGCTCATCAGCCCCTATATTTGTGCTGGTAATGCTAAAAGCAACATGCTATAAGCAATATGATATCCAGCACCTTAAAGATAACGCTGCTGACAGTCTCTGAAGAGGGGAAAGAAAAGATAGATTTTCTTGCCACACTCTCTCTAGTAGTAGTAGTAGTAGAAAAATAAATATGCAGTCATAATGTATGTGAAGGGGGGACAGCAGATAACAAACTTGAATGCAATTTTCTCATTTGGAAAAGGCTTTTCCATAATCCCTCTATTAAATATCACCTAACTTATATGGATTGCTTTAAAGTTTCAGTGAAGAGGTTGAGGAAAGCGTGCAGTGTGTCAGCTTACGGTTTGTTTGCAGACTAGGCAAATCCAGAGTTTTCAAATATATAACCTTGAGGGCCTAAAACCTGCAGAGGTGGTCTCTGATCCTCCAGGCAGCCAGGCACATGGTAAATTTTAAGTGTGTGAATACAGAAACTCAGCCAAGTGCTTGCATAAAATCTCAGCACCTGCTGAAGTGTTTGATGGATGGCAGCCTTGCCACCATATTTTCAGAAGTATTCTGATGCCAAAAATGCAAATAAGCACCCTACTGAGATTTTCAAAAGCAATTTGGCCTAGATTCCCGACGAGATGGAACCATTGCATATCTGAATGCTCAGCCCTTCAGAGTGAAATTTCCATTCATCTAATCAGGGTTTTGAATGCACTTAAGTGCCTGAAATTCCAAGAATTGGCATCAATTTTCAAAACCACTTCCAGTATTTTTAGCAGACCTTTGTTCTGGCAGCTCCATATGGCGGCACCCTGATGCTGCCATTTCCATGCACTTCAGGTAGGTGATTCTAGGTCCAATCATGAATTGAACACAGTGAAAGGAAAGTTTGGAATGGCATTTATTTTTTCAACAAGCTCTGCCCTGTTTTTAAATTGAACCTCTCTTCACAAAGAATCTTCATCATTTGATTTAGTCTTGATCTTGGTTTTGCAGAAATTTGCACTGGGCAACCATCAAGTGTGAACACGGTTCTTTTATCAAAGCTAAGAATTTAATAACAACTCTGATCTTGCTTTCTATACCTCTTACAGGAACAGTAATGGAAAAAAACCCTCCATTTTCTTTAACTTTTAAAAACCACACATAATCCTGGTACAGTTAATTTTATGCCTTTTAATCTAATACCTAAGATAATTGTGAAATAAAAGAGTGTGTGCTGGAGACCAGCAGAGTGATGGAGCTGTAATCTGGGAGCTCCAGATGAGAGAGCAACTGTGAGGCAGTGGACTGGCATTTCCATTAGCTGAAGGAGAGAATCAGGCAGTGCCCAGGGAAAAGGAGCTCTGGTCAGCAGTTCTCTGGAGGATTGCAGATAGCTCCATCAGCTGTGTTTGGAGAGGTTAATTGAAACCCAAGCATCACAGAGCAGAGAAGCCAGCACGGTAGGAGATACCTCTTTTGAGAGAAGTGTGCTTTGATTAGTCTATTAATGAAAATGCCAAGAGCTTATTATTCTTCTCAATAAACATAATGCAGGGCTGAATTCCAAAGAGAGCAAACAACTGAAAAGGAAAGGAGAGATAAAAGACAATGATAGCAAAAGGACCATTATGTAAAAATAGCACAAACAAGATAGTTAAGCTTGTGATAATTCGGGTGGAAGGTCTGTGGTGTGTTTCACTCAGAGCAGAAAAGACAGTTCTAAGATGGATTTTACGGAATGTATCAGTGAGATATTTGGTGAAACAAAGGCGTACAACAGCACATGACCTGAGGATCCTGGAGAGTCCTTCCAAACCCATTTTCTCATGAACTGTTAACCCAACTCTAGGAGGGGAGACTGGCACTACCTCCTTACAAACTACATTTATCACTTGAAGAGTCCTTTTCTGAGGACCTGACCTAGTATTACTAAGAGATACCAGCAAGGAGAAAGTTTTCTGTGCTCTCTGATATGTGAAATTATAACTCTGACCCTATCTAGTTAACATGGTGCTGAAGCAAGGGAGAAAATGGAGCTCAGTCTCTACCCAATCCTTGGTCTCTGAAAGCCCCAGGCAGAGCTGTGTGCATTAAAAGAAGGAGAAGCAATCTGTTAATGAGGAAAAAAGAGAGCTCTTATCAACACCAAATAGTCTCACGACATTTGAGATGCAGCAAATGGTTTTTCCCTGCTATTCTTGAAATCCACCCAAACCCTTTTTGTGCAAGCACTAAGAAATGAGAGTGTTGAGTCATCAGCTCAGAAAGCAGGTAACAATCCTCTCTCATCACGCTGTGTCTGTTGGGGGCTTCTCCAGTGATTAAGAAAGTAAAGGCTAAAAGAAAACAATTTTTTCTCTGCTTGACTCTTCAGAAAAATAAAAGGGCAGGCCACGTAGCTCCAGGAAACAAATTTGGCATCTGAGCCAGCACTCACTCTGCGGACACAGCAATGCTGTTTAAATTTAGAGTAGGTTGGAAATAAATAAATAAATGACTGACAAGTGGGGTTTTTTTGTGTTTTTTTTTTTTTTTTTTAAAGGGATTAGAAGAGGTTGAACATTGTCAGAGGTGGTGTTTCGGTGACAATGAGAAATGCAGACAGAGAAAGTAAATAACTGTGCTGGCAGGAAGAAAATTTCCACAGGGAGCTGATCCGCATGATGAGAATTACATGAACTGTAGCAGAATTCAAGGGGCTACTAAGCTGCAGTAAAAAACATAATAAAGTGACCTGGCAATCAGATGAAAGCGAAACCAGCCCAGATAGCCACAGTGAAGGTCAAGCAAGCAGCACACTTAAATGGAGACTCAGTGGAAAAGAGGAATTGGGTAGCAAAGGAGCCCAAAATACAGTACACAGAGCAAGAGTTGTATTCTGGTTAGAATACAGACTTCAGTAACAGAATTCAGTAACATATTCAGATAAGAAACAGGTAAATGATGATGCTGTTACTTTCTGGATATATCTCACCCCTACTGACTAGTATTTCAAGGAGAATTTAAAATAAAGTAAAAATAAGCAATTGATGGATTTTCTGTTGAGGACTTAATTCATAATGGGCAGCCTCGCAAGAGGGAGCATTCCCTAGAAAACTTTTTGCTGCACAAATTCCTTTTAAGCTAAAACCAATAAAGGTGTTTATTCCTGGAGGCATCTTTGAAGATCTTCCTCTCTGGGAAGAAAGGAGAGAATGAGGTCCTGCTGCCCGAGGATCATCCCTATGACATCCTCCTTCCTCTGACCTTGGGATGAAAAAGCACCCACACAAAGCAGATCAGCCTCTGCTGGATGGAGCTTACCTTGGCTCCTGCTAAACGCCCAGCACTAACAGCCAGAACAAAGCTTTCCTTGCAGAAAGGAGCTGCAGAGCATGTGAGAGGAGTGAATCATGTGTCCTTTCATCTATTGAGAACTTCGGCGTGATACCCCCACCTTTTCCTTTTCTCTGTATGCAGGAAAGGAGTCATCCCTTCTGCCACTTCTATTTATAAATAAAGTTAAATTGCTGAGTGCTAAAAAAGAAAAAAATTAAAAGGAAAGCAAAGTTTGGTCAGCCTGGATTTAAAGCGGGATGTGTCATACCCAACACTCAGGGCATGTTTGAGTATCAGCTTAAAGAGCACCACTTTGCAAAAGTCTGGAGTGCCCCCCATTAGTTCTTGCCTATTGTGAAGACCTTTCAACTGTTTTTCAGCTCAAAAATCTGAATGAAGTTATGCCTTGTGAGCAGCTCTGTAGTGCATTGCAAAAACAAGCAGGAAAAACCCATCATAATGTTTCTTTAATGCCCCTGGTATCGTTCTGGAAGTGAGTGTGCTGAAACCTGTCTGTAGCAAATACTTTCCCTCCACTTAAAAAATAGACAACAAAAAAAAAGAGTGAGTTCTGTAAATGCAGGCATCATGCTGTGAATCATGTGGTAGGTTTTGCTCACCTTTATAGTATGGGGAGTCCAATAAACCCCTCTGGCCACTCTTTCTCCTCTTAAGTAGCATCATGTGCCATCAGCATGGACTACAGCAAGAGAAAGGCAAACTTGGTGTGTATAAAGCAGTGGAAATTACCCCAGTGAAATCACTTAATAGAATAACTGCTTGTCAGTGCTGGCAGTCTTGGCTGGGGTTTGAGTAGCTGCAGGTCTGACCAGCAGACATCTTTTAAGGCAAATAAAATAACCCTTGTGCCAGGGTATTTCTGGGTAGATGAGGTTTATGGCATTTGCCCTCCAGCTGCAGATGAGGGGCAGACTGTGACATTCTTTCTCAAATTGCTTCACAATACCCAAATGTCCTCTTGATTTAAATGGAACTGGCTGTTCTTTATGAGAAAAGGGGTGGGGGAAGAGAAAATTCTCTGCTTTTTAAACCTCTAACTTCACATCATACCAACACTGGGGTGTGTGCATAAAGCACATAATTAACTATAGGTTGTGTGGCTGCACAACTGAGGTGGCAGAATTGCCTTGAATATTAAGTGCTGCCATGGCTTAGTAAGATCTTCTTTAGTCCTGAAATGTTTTTGTTTAAAAAAATATCTGATCAGGACAAGAATTTGGATTGCACATTTGCATCTTCAAATGAAAAAGATGACAGAAAGGAATGTTGGTTCTATTAAAAAAACCAAAGATATTATTTTATCTTAAAGTAAGTTGTAAAGCTTAGGTCTGTAGTTGAAGTTTGTCTTGCAGAGTTTTAAATTTAGTTTGCATGGGCCAGAAGTAAGATGGAGTCATATTTCTAGCTTAAAGAAAATTTTGGAATAGTTTTAAAGAACCAAAATTGGCCAAGTCTTTCAGCATCATAGAGATGCTATCCTCAGCAGCAGAGCTGCTCTGGTTCTGTGTCTGTGTAATTCCCTTTGTCTTTTGCTCTTTGGCTCTGCTTGAGCCACGTGGTCCTGTTCCTCCAAATTCATTTGCAGAGTAGGATAATTTTGCAAAATACAAAAGATACCCTATTTCAAAGTTTCTTCTCTTCCTGGTACACTTTAGAGACGTACAAGTGTGACAGAACCTTACCACTAAAAGCTCTGTGTCATACCCAAAGGGATAATTGTGGACTCAATTATTCTTTTCAAACTGCAGTTTTACCGGGGCTTTTAGAAAGGCCAGGGGTTTATTCTGCAGCCAGCACCCAACCCACTGTCTGTTTGCACTTGTAGCTTCCTGAAGTGCACTGAAGTGCAGTGCCCACAGCAGAAACAGATATTTCACTTTCCCAAAGATGCCACTTCTACCAGCCCACACATCAATAACCCGGGCTTTTGGTCACCCAAAGCCAACAGCACAAGGCTCCGGGAGAGAACTGGAGAGAAGCAGCTGTGTTTCCTTGGGGATGTCTGACCCTTCTCCTGCCTCCCAGCCATGCAGGCACTTTGTGAGCTCCCATTTTGGGAAAGCACTGAGCACCTTCACCTCCCACCAACCCTGTGAGTTCAGGCACTTAGCGTCGTTCCAGCAGCTGCTCTCCGGAGCTAAAGGAGATGGAGCTTCCTCAAATATCCAGCTAATGTTTCTTCCTTGCTAGGGGTTGCTAAGTAGCAGTTTTTGTCAACCTCCTATCTAAGAATATAAATCCTGTGATTTGCTAAGACACTCCTGACGAGAAAATGGCTCCGATTCCCTGAGCTCAGAAAACTCCAACCCGGTTATTGCTGGGGAAAAAGCATTAACATTAGCATTCACAATCTGGGGAGGAGGAGAGGCTTCTTCCTCATATTTTCAGGAGAATAATTTAAGAATTGCATTAAAACAGTCTAGTCTACATGCAAATTTGATTTTTGACCTTTTGTGCTAATCAACAGCCATGCTGCTAAAAAGCTGTGTACATTATTGCAGCAAGTATGGAGTGGAATTAACTAATATACATTGAATGTGGCTGTAGCAGATTTGAAGGTTATTTCACATATTTCCCCACACAGAGATCAGGATCTAAATCATCAGGAATGCTTCAAGGATCAATTATTAACTCTTGATGGAGATCCTGGTGGAATGTGTAGTATACTATCAATATTAAATATAATGGGTAGTTTTGGTGGTTATGCGGACAAGGGATATGATACGTTAGGCCATAAAAATTTGAGAAAATTGCATGTTAAATGATTTTAAATAAACTGGGTACTGTTAAATAATTAGGATTACTTTAAAAAAGTATCTAAACTTCATTTGATCTCGGCTCCTGCTGCAGTTCATGGGGTGTTTCTGGACATGGGAGGAGCATATGTGCAGCATGAAGTACTTGCCTAAAAGCACAACATCATTCCTACACAGAGGATTCTGCCACCACACATCACATACCAAAAAGAAATTTTTATAGTGGTGCTTCTTATAAAATCCATGACAATATTTTTCCCCAGTTCTGTCCCCAGATTGTTTTGTTTCTTCTTCCATGGTAGGACTGAAAGGTGCCTTCTGGTCTAGGAAATGAAATAAAAATACCATAGACTGTGTTTTTTCACATTCATTTTCTGTAGAGGAAGGTCAGGGTGAGGAAGAACTGGAGGAGTGAGGAGGATGGAGAGACTTCTCTGGCCAAAGAGAAAAGAGCCTTGAGAAACTCCCCAACCCTCCTCATCCAGCAAGGATTGTGGAGATCATCCTTGAGCTATCCCAGCCTCTAAGCAAGTTGGTGCACCTGAAAATATTGGCAGTTTTCTAGTTAAAGACCTTTCCAAATTTTTTTGTTTCTGAAACCCACAGTCAGTGAGCACTGCTGGGCAGGCAGGCAGAGATTCAAGCATGTCTGGCCATGTGTGAATTCCATGAGGATCAGGAATAGCAAAATGAAGATAATTTCCAGTGTCACATTTCAGCTTTAAGAGAAGCTACTTGGTTTTGGGGGAAAAAAGAAGGGACTGAAATGGGTTCCAGAAATCTTGCCAGAACTAAAGAGACCAAACCAACCCACCAAGCTCTAACAGAGTTTTGAAAATCCAGACTTTGCAACCTTTTGCATCAACAGCTTGAGTTTTGCTGATGCATAAGATAAAACATGTTCTTCCCATCAATGCACTTTTCAGTGCTGATCATCCAAAGCATTAAGAACTCAACCCTTCAGAACACATCATCCGGATCTTTTAGCTGCAGAAGGAGCTGTTTTGTTGTTCCCTGACTTCGTGAGGTTTCATTTCCTACAGATTTGTGCTTTTGCCATCAGCACCACCAGCACAATCCCAGGTTTCCTGCACGTCCTGTGGGATCTGCCCAGCTGGCACGTGTCAGCTGTGTCCAGAGCGTGTGAGTGCTGCTGTCACCCCTGTGTGTCACCGACCCCAGCAAGGACAGATGCTCAGAGCACTTACACAAAGCACCTTTGTGTAGGGAGCTGGACCAGCTCTACCCTCCCTTCCCTTCCCCTGCAGAAAATAAACCTAGATTGAATGTCAGTGTCACTTCTCACAAAGGAGTGCTCTGTTTGCAGGGAGCCCTGCTTTTAAGATGCCAGGCTGTGTGGTCACAGTGACAAATGGAAAACCCCACTCAGCACTCTCCAGACTTACCCTGACATAAATCAAAGCAAGTGGACCTGATATTTCCCTTGCAGCATATTCTGCTGCTGATGGATTCCCAATTTCGTGACAAACTGCATTGTACACTTGGATTTCGATGTGTATCTGCTCCTTTTCCTTGGCAATAGGAAAACTTTGAAACCAATTCAGACCTTACACTCCAGCAGAACTTGGACTAAAATTGGACAGATATTTGTTGCAGAATAGGAAGGGTATTTAAAAATAACATGTTCGTGAGATGCCTGGTATTTCACACCCACTGATAGAATAGGATTTTCTCCTATTTTTAATTTCACCTATGAGAGATTCAGACCTGCAGTTTGAATGCTCAGTGGTACCACGCTGACAAAGAATTAAACTTGTGGCTTGTGATGGGTTTTTTTTTGGTGGGCACTATGATTTTAGAGTTTAGATTTTTATTAGATCTGAATAGATAAGTTGAGTAAACACTACAGACTTGCTGACTTCACCTAAAACTGTTCTGAGTTACCTCAGCATCAAGTGAAGGAAAAGGAGCTGTATCTGCTCTGCCTGAGAGGGCTCTCAGGACAGCCCTGATATGTTTACATATGTTTTTTTCTTTGCCTTTGGTACCATTTAAATCCCAGAAAATTCAGAACCTGCGCTCCGAAAAAAATAAAATTGAAGTAATTCTTTTTACTGATAGATTTTTGTAAAAAAATATATTTGAAAGCAGAACTGGCTCTAGTCTGTCTGCTTTAGAATCTACTAAACCTCTATAGGACTGGAATCTTTTATCCCCCTTTTTTTTTACCTTCTTCCTTTTTGTTATTGGAAAAGGAGGAGTAAGGAAGTGACTGGTGACACTTTCAGAATCATTCAGTGATTTATGAACACAAACTGAGTTTCAGTGCAACACTTGCACACTTTTGCTGCTTATGTGCTCCTGAAAGTCTCACCCTTGCTGTAAATTGAGGGAGTTTTGTTTTATGCTCCTTTTAATGCCAGTACTTTTGTCCCAGGAAATTCTCCACAGTCCCATCAGCAAGTAAATGGAAGACAGGGATTTTACAACTTTCATGATAGATAAATCCTCATTTTCTCTCTTTGAACAAGCCCAAAGCTCCTGCCAGAAATCCAGCACATGGCTGGCCTGCAACTTGCAAAACATGATCTAGATTTCTACTGGTTTTCTAAAGCTAAACAAGAATGAACAAAACAAGTTTGCACAGTTTAATGGTGAACACTAGGTTTCCTAATTACTATTTGTGTTTTAGAAGGAGATTTTATTTTACTATTTTCTCCAAAGAATCAGGCTGTCTCCTTTTGGAAGCCTTTTGGAAGCTGGGCAGGGTTAGGGCCATCTGACCTGGGGTTTGCAGGAGGTGGGCAGCCCCTCAGCCTTTTGGATGGTTGTGATGGAGGTGGCAGTGAGAGGTCAGCTACACTCAGTTTGTCTGACGTGGAAAATGTACTTTTTCCTTCAGGTTTCTCAATCACCAACTCAGAGCCAAGCCTTATCAGAGACAGCTATGTTCCAGGTCAGCATGTTAATGACAAGAAGAAATGTCTTTTATCCCCCTGCCAAAATGTCATGCCCATTCCTCTTGAAGCAAGGCCACGGTCACCAGAATTTGGGCATCTCTTTACCCCAGGAGAGGCTGTTGGAGCTCACTGTGCCAGGAGGTGACAAGATGAAGCCCTTGCTCACTCTGGATCCTGCTTGTCTTCAATGGGCTAAAGGAAGCTTGGCACTCTGTTCCCATCCCTGCAGCTGAGGTGCTCTCAAAGGTGGTGGTCAGGCCAGCAGTGCTCTCAGAAGGGAAAGGTGAAGGGAAGGGAAAGGTGAAGGAAAGGGAAAGGTGAAGGGAAGGGAAAGGTGAAGGCCCTGCTGCAGGGGTGACCATCAGTGGTCACGGAAATCCATGGAGCTGGGAGTGAGCTTGGTTCTCCCGGCCACCACAGCACACTGCAAAGCTGCCTTTGAACAAGAGATTGGTTGCAATAATGAAATTCAGTCACACAAATGTGGCACTTCATGGGTAAAAAATGTATTTATGGGGACTTGAAGTGTGAAGTCCGTACTTTGCCCTCAGAATTTGATTACCTAAATCATGGACAATCACAGAGTAAATCTCAGATGACAGTTTTCCCCCCAGAAGTGCAGAAATGCCTGAAGCTCAAGCTTCAGACTCTCTCAGCGTCCTTTTAAGACACAATCACAAACAAAGAGTACACAGTGCTCAAGACATCTGCTGTTACCTGTGAATATGAGCTGCATGTAATCAGGGTGCTCTTTAGCAAAGTTTTTATTTGCCTCCTTTATTTTGTCAGCCTTGTCTCCTTTCACAAATGGTGTGTACATAACTGAAAAAGATACTTCTGCAGCCTAAAAAAGGCAAAGAAATGATACATTTCTTGTTGGGTAATGGCTAGTTAAAAAAACCACCAAAAAATCCCCTACATTCTCTGATATTTTCCTTTTAATAATTGCACAGTCATGCAAAGATAACATATTTTGGTCCTGAATATTAATTAGAGAGGAATTTAAATTAGTTCCAGAAAACACTGCCTATCTATACTCAGAAAATCAATTTAATGGGGAAAGAACATTTGTAAACAGTTTTCAGTGCGGCGAGCCTCTGTCTTCAATGAGGAGAAAAGTATTAGCTAAATTATCTCCTAGATGAAAAGAAAGAGTGATTCCATGCTCTTTGAAGGTCACAGCTTTCATCTGATGGTTTTATTCAGTCCTTGGGAGCTGGTTAAAAAACACTAAGCATTCATATTACCCCTTGGGTTGGCACGAATCAGACACTGTGCCTATACGGAATATTAGTCTTAAAATATTGCATTTAAGCACCGTTTGCATTAAGAGCAAAATTCACTCCTGTGCAGAGGGCAACACGAAGCTTATGAACCTTTTCATCCCTTAGAAATGACTCACATGATGCATTGTGCTGGCCTGGTGCAGAGAGGGGAATTTCACACTTGGTGGACCCCAGCGGAGCTGGAGCTGCCAGGAGGAGCTGCCAGCCTGGGAACTGCCTTGCTTGGCATCTTTATCCACCAGAGCCAGGGAGGCTGAGCTGCAGCTCCTCCTGGGCTGGGGTTTGGGTCAGACCACGTTCAGCTCTGCCTTGGCTGCGTCTCCTCCTGTCTTAGGATGGAAATGGGGGTGTGTATTCTATTCCATCTGTCGGAGCTGGGCAGTTCTCCTCACAGGGCATGCTCTGACTCTGGCAGGGGTTTGTTTTTTTGTCTGTACTATTACATTTATATCTTTAATTTTCCTGGTAAAGAGCTGTTATTCCTATTCCCATATCTCAGCACTAACACAGAGTTAACAGGGATGGTCAGAAAAGCATGGGAGGAAAGGATATCTGCATTTCAGCGGGGGGTGTGAGTCTCCCAGGACCCCTGAGGTGATTCACAGAGGGTGTCACTGTGGGACCAGCTCTGTGTGTTATTGACAAGCCCTCGTTGTTGTTCTCCAGTCTATCCCTGACCTGGGTGAAATGATCCAAGGCGCAGTGTGGCCCCGTGAGTCATCCCTTCAGCTGATGGCTGCTCCCACCACCCCAGGATGGGAGGCTGAGAGTGCCAATTAGTTAAGTATCCATGTCCTTCTCTCTAATGGCTTTAGACAACAGGACTCTGATAAGGTTTTATGCCAGTTTATTTCCATCCTGTTGATTGATACGGGGCGTGCAGAAGTACTGTTACAGTTGGTTTGAGTAGATTTTAGGTTAGGCTGCCACACGTGCACCCTGAGTGCTCTTACACTGATTGCTCTGCCTGGATCTCGAGGGTGTCACTGGGGATTTGTTTATATTTTGGATTTCTATATTTAGCCAGCACATTATCTTGCATGTATTGGAATGGAAGCAGTCTGGAGTGGCCAGTTTAGCCCTGGAGCATTAACAAGCCTTGATGTGTGTAATAGTATCATGGCCACCCGTGGCAATAATAACATTCCACCCAGGTGAGGAGAAGATCCAGCTTTCCATGGGCAGAACCATGTTATCCATGGTTAATGCCACAGATCTGGAGGTATCAGACCAGAAAATAACAAGTGTGTCCTCTTGCCAAGAGCTTGGGGGGACACACGAGGGGATCTGTGCCCATTCCTTCCCGTAGTGAACTTACCAGTCTGCACTGATTTACAGGAAAGTGATTTTAGGTTTTCTTATTTCTGTGGCTTTAATTATCTTGTCGTTCAGGGCCTTTAGAGGATCATGTAGCAAACAATGCCACCAATCTAACTTTCTAAGACACATTTTAACAAAAACTTTTCCAAGTTTTTCTGAATTTCACGTGTAAATATAGACATGGAATTAGGTCAGCCTGATTTTGTGTGAGATGTGGGGTATTCTGCTTATTCTCTGTAGGTTGGCAGCCCTTTTCTAATCCGGATTGATGTGAGCATGTGAGTGTGGGTTTGGGTGTATCCACACATTTCAGCTTTAAAATAGGTGGAGTGAGGGAGCGAGGTGAAAAAGCGAGTGGCTGGACCAGGCAAGCTCTGCAGTCTGCAAAGTTCACTTTTGGGTTTAGCATCCTCAAGATCACTTCAAAGTCACACTTTGGGATCTCTGGATTGCCTGGTACCTGTGGCTACTCTGCACAGCAAACAGTGAGAGGCTCTGAGGGCAATTATGGTGAAATGTCAGCCAATGAGGAAAAGAACAGATTAATCATTTCTGGTCAATACTGTTACTGAAGGTATTCATATTATTACCCAAGAGCATTTTCTCCCCAGGCTACTGACTCTGGACATAGACACTATTTGTTTTATTATCTTCTTGGATTTTTATGGGGTAAAGTCTTTAAAGACATAAAACTTCAGCCCATAAAAACTTTGGAGGAGAAAACTTTATATGAGGAAATCCCAGAGGATTTTTCTGCTCACGCCTTTATGTACTGAAATCTGTCACTGTGGATGAATATCTGGCAGCGTGTCCAGGAAGCAGAGATGCCTCCAGAACATTTGTTGTGCTGTGCACATGTCACTCAAGATACAGAAACACCGAGGAGAGGATTGGAAGGGCTCAGTGGACTTCAGGAATTCCTTGCAGAGAGGGTTGGGCAGCTGTTTTTTCCACATTTGCACGTGTTTTGATGTCCTTGCATCAGAACAGGCCTTTCTACAGTGTCCTGTCAGGTGCAAGAAGGAGGATGTTGCTTTTCTGGCCTCAGAATGGAAGGAGTGTGAGGCTCTCGTGAGTGTGGGGGAGCTGCTAAGCTGACAAAATGATAAAGAAAGATGATTTTTTTTTTTGCATATCTTGCAACTGAGCTCTGCAGCAAGTCTCATCACGTGGAGCTACACTCCAGCCCTTAATTCCAGAAAAGTTAGAAAATATGAAGTCCTTGAGGTAATCTTAAAATATAAGAAAGAGCTCCTCTAGCAAGGTGCAATAATGAATGTAAGGGCTGTGACTGACACGAGGCCACTGAATGTGGTTAACTTCAGCACTGGACAGAATCTATTTCTCCAGCAAAGATGCAAAAACTTGCTTTAAAAGACTCTGCAGAGTAACCTGGTGATGTGGAAGATTTCTTTTTGTAGTTATGGGACTGACTCATGCTCTGCTGTGTCAGGAGGTTTATATCCCTGTTTTGGAAGTGTGGGGAATCAGAGAAATTCTGCAGAGAAACCATATGGAGACAAAGTGTCTCAAGGGGTATTTATATTGTCAGCACTTCTATTAAAATACCAATTAATTCCTTCACGAAGCACAAGCTTGAGGGATGCCTCAGTTACAGGTTTGAGGCATGTACTTTGCTACAGTGAAAAATAAAAAGCAAGAAGACATTCTTAAACAACTAACTTTGTTTTGATCAAGTTTTTATACCCATATTTGACCCAGAATTGTCTCATACTCTTCTCTGAGCCTCTTGGCTATGCAATATCCAAGGTTTTCTTCCCTGTGAGGGTGGTGAGGTCCTGGCACAGGGTGCCCAGAGAAGGTGTGGCTGCCCCATCCCTGAAATGTCCAAGGCCAGGTTGGACAGGGCTTGGAGCCGCCTGGGATAGTGGAAGGGAGTGGAACGAGATTGGATTTAAGGTCCTTTCCAACCCAAACCAGTCTATAATTCTGTGATTCAACACTCACTAAAATTCAGTTAAGAACTCATAAAATGAATAGGTAGATGCACAAGAAAGGAACCTTCCCTATGCCAGCTTCTGATGGCAAATGATGGAACTGCTTCAATATTTTTATGAAGCTCTTGCCATTTTGCATTAGAGCAGGCATAGAAGAAAAATGGCACTGTAGTGAAAAATTCTTCATAACAGTGAGAGTGGCTTTCCCTGCCACAGTTCCTAACCTTAATCCTCTTTAACTACAGAAAGGTTTAATTTGGAAAATCCAATTATCTTGACATCTAGAATTAGCCAAAAATTTAGATATCTTTCTAGTGCCTTATCTTGCAGCTGCAGTGCACACTCAGTCCCTGTCTCATTTACAGTACAGCAGGAACTGATGCTTTTATTGATGATTTTTATTAGTGCAATGGTATCAGACAGGCTAAAGCCATTAGCCTCTTCTATGAACTGCTTCCACTCCTAGGCTGGTAGTTAGAATTATGGGTGCACTGCAGTGCAACCTATGTGCTTTTCTCTATATCTTTCCAACCATAAAAAAGTCTCTGGCAGTCTTGCCACTAAGTCTGTGGCTGTTGTGATATGAATATCTTCTCACCAGCGTGATCCTCTTACAGAACTTTTATTCTATATTTTTTTTCTGTGGGGAAAAAAATAAGCAGACAGAATGCCAGAGCACATCCCTTTCTCAATATGTTTGTGGTATGAATAAATCATGTATTGCACAATAGATGAGAACCTTCTGCTTATCTGCCTTGTAATGCCTCCCCATTAATGTAGGTCACATCAAATATCAGCTTATTTGGGGTTTTAAGTTATTAAGGTATTTAAGTCTCTGTGAGTTAGTTTGGATGCAGCATGTTTTGAAAGAGGATTTGTGGAGCAGATCCGTGTCTTCCCAAAGGCAGAGGTGCTGCAGATGCGTTACCTAAGGCTTCAAGGCCTGCTTGATACTCTAATAAAGGATCTCTTTATGTTTGGGAAGAAAGGAAATCCATGTTTTATATCCTTTCAAAGAGATCATGAGTCATTAAAGAAAAATCCTGGAATGCTCAGCGTATGGGAAGGGTGGAGGCTGCTCTGGAAACTCCTTGCCTGTGGTGTCTGTGAACAGGCCAATTATCCTCTACATGAAGCCAGTGTCCAAAACCAGAGTTTTTAACCAGTTTTGTTAGCAATTTCCCCTTTTAAAAGATATTTTTGTGGTGAGGAATACCCCAATTCCAGTGAGGCAATTCCCTGTGGCTGCTCTGGGCTCCCCTACAGTGCTGGGAGAAGCC